TTAACCGACAGCTGGAAGCATAACCAATTGTAAATTTCCACGTGGACAGGACAGAATGTACTTGGAATGTTCTTGGGCCACGTTAAACCCAAAACCTTCCCCGGCACGCATATTCGCAATCTTCGTACACATCTTATTTATCAAAAATTTGGCCTAAGACAGGACATGAATCTTCCAAAATAATATCTTCTTTGTGTCGTTCACTTCTTTGTAAGATTTCTTGTGTCTCGACCATAAAAATCATGTTTTCTTCAGTCTCGAAACTCGTCCATAAACCTTTGGTGGAAGCTCGTCAAGCGAGTGATCAAGGCTGGCATCTTTTCCTCGGCCGGAAGAATAGTGCATCTGATGTGCCAAGTTCCGGGAACCTGAGAAAACGAAGTATAGATAAGCTCGGTTCTCGAGAAACCAAAACAATGTAGCTGGAAACTTACTTGACCGAATCCTGAGCCAGGAACGACGACAATGCCAGTTGCATCGAGTAATCTCCGAGCGTAAAACGTATCAGCAGCCATGGAGACCGCTGCTGCAGCCTTGAGAGCTCTCTCCGGTAAATGGAGCCGAGGAAACAAGTACATCGCGCCCTCGGCCTGGTTGCAACTGACGCCTTCTAGCTTATTAAATCCTTCGGCCAGCAGCTGCAAGAGGAGGGACTTAGTCTCGGGCTGAGCAGGAAAAAAAAAAGGAAAACACGGCGAGATCGTCGTCTTTCTGACCTTGGCGCGTCTCGCAAGTGAAGCCAATATGCCATCACGCTCTCGGACGTAGTCTTCATAAGATTCGTCGCCGGCCTGCATGTTGACAGCATTCTTCAGCTAGAGAAAAACAAAAAACCAGAAGAGGCTTGCTGATACCTTTGGAGGATTCGAAACCAGGCTCATTAGAATTTGACCGGAAATGTTTGAGCAAAGATTCACAGACGCGATCTTGTAGATTTGTTCCTTGACGTCTTTGTCCACTCCCGTAACTTCCATGTAGCCCCCTCTTCTTCCGCATTCACCGTAATAACCTGTGTGTCAGAACTAGAGATCATCAGATTCCCAGAGAACAAAAAAAGCTCCCAGTGTATGCAACTCACCTTTTGAAACCGAATGGAAGGATACTATGCTGAGATCGTTTTCTCCTAGTCCCATACTTCGCGCAACTTTCTTGAATGATTGGAACTTTTTACCTTCAGCATAGATGTTCTCTTGATACACCTGCATAAAAGAAAATGTCAGCGCACCTTCTAACAAAGATGCAAACTAGAAAGCGCTTGGTGAACTTTGGGAAAGTTATCACCACGCACAAACCTAAGCTGTCTTTAATGCACCTCATCAGCAAGTAACAAAAGCCGCTCGTCCTTGCAAAACTGAATAATTTTTTTCTGGTTTTCTTCCGACAGGACCTGGAAAAACAACGCAAAGGATTAATAACGACTTAAAATTGCGTGGAGCACTATCGGCAATGAGGAAACACCTGACCAGTCGGATTCCCAGGATTGATGACTACAAGAGCTCGAACATTGATCCCAGAACCCCTGGCTTTCTGGATTTGCTGTTGAAGTTCCTGCACTTCAAGACCCCAACCTGCGCTCTCATTCAAATAGTAAGGAACCTGCGCAAAAATGTAAGTTTTCTGCGAAGCAAAACCTCCGAAAGCGTACCAAGCTTCCTCCATGGAGTGTCATGGATGCCGAGTACAAGGGATATTGCGGTATAGGACACATGATCCCGTCCTTTTCCGAGCTTATAAGTAGCTGCATCATCATATGCACCTAAATAGCACAAAACTCACTTAGTTTAAAGCTCAAAGCTCAATGCGAAGTAAACTGCTTACTGCAACACTCGCTCCATCTGTAAGGTATAAATCCTCCGCTTTGGCCGGATATCCATCACGACGTGCAATGGCTGCTGCAATTTCTTCACGGCAATATTGTAGACCCTGTAGCAATGTCAGGACCACTCAAGTTGAGAGTCCAACTTTGCAGTACGCACCTGGCTGTGGCTATAAGCACCAGTAGCCTTTCCAGGAATTTTATCTATGATCTTCCAGGCTCTTGCTATAGCATCAGCACTGCGGAAAGAACGCTCCCGTTAAAAAAAGCTGGAAACTTGCGTACTTCTTACCTGAAAAGAGCATGAGTTTCAGCTTTATCGAGTAGCGAAGGGTTGTCACACAAAGCAACCACCTGAGATACGAAGAAAACCAAGCATTTATACCGAGGCCCGGAAAAAGAGAAGAGACTTTCGAGTAAAAACACTTGCCTCTCGAAAAAAAGTGATTGGTACTTGGCCTAGAGACTGTGGATTCCCAATATTGCAGTAGATAATCTGCACACAAACGACGACAGTGAGAAAACATTCCACAAAACCAAGGCGTTTTTCTCACCTCCTCGAATGGTAGCGACGATGGTTTCGTGATTAGTTCCTGTTCCAGGAGCTGGAAAACATGCCACAAGTCAACAACGTGAACAGGAAAGATAAAATAGAGAAGAGAAACAAAGAAAGGGGCAGCACCTGTGCTCGCATTACAATCTCTCCTCGGACAGCATACTCACATTTCATCACCTGGACAAGAGAGAATTCAATCAAGCTACAAGCATCGACGATAGATTTTACCTTGGGATTGACATTCCCTATGGTGAGCGGCGACAACCACGTCATGGTGGAGAGCTTCCGGATCCCTGCACACCCGCCCTTGCTTGCCTCCTCCTCCACAACCTCCGCTGTAGCGATTGCAGCGGCGGAGAGCGATCTGGATTGATGATCCATGGAGCTGCCGACGCTGGCCCCGATGCTGCCTCTGCTTCGCCTCGCCGCGGCCACCGCGAATCTCCGGAGCATCGCGAAAGCTTTTAAACCCTAGCCAAGCCCCCCCTAGGGTTTGCCGGCCACCAGGTTGCTTCGTTGCCACCTTCCTCAATGGCCACCACATTGGTCAAAGTCATACGCCTCCATTTCTTTGACCGGACCGGCTCATCACGTCCATAGAGATTTCCTTGACAACCATCTCAACCCTACAAAAATTTGATCATCACATATGCCCTGTCTGGGCATATCCCAGTCCACTTATAGTGGCGGCCAAGCCATGGACACAGTAAAAATCAAAAGAAATCGTTGAATAGCGATAGAAGACGCGAAAGACTCGCTCCAATCGAAGCGTTGAAAGAAGCGCTACTACATTGACAATGCTGCACACGAAAGCGTTACAGTGACATTACTTCTTTGTGTCGAAAAAATCGCTCCACGAAAGCGTCGAAACACCACCATAGACAATACTTTCCTCGAGCTTTAAAGATTTCTGGCACTGTTCTCAAAGACTTCCAAGAAGAGTTACTTAGAAGAACTAAGGAAGCTACTTACAGGAAGTGCTATAGCGTTTAGCATTTTGTCAAGCCGATGGCTGAAAGAGCTGCTGCGGTGCCTCGTGTGATTCTGAGAAGCTGTGCCTCAACGTATGTCCGCGGTCCTGTCTCGTGTCCATGAGGTTCTTGATCGAAGTAGCACACTTCCAGGCAAGAACATCGGAGTTGCACTCCGTGGCTACAGACAAGAGTTTAATCCAGTTATCTGCAAAAAACAAGCGAAAAAACAAAATAACGAAACCAATCAATGAACGAAAACATCGTACCAGGAGTGGCGACTATGGCAGCTTCAGACCGCAACTTAAGTACATCGACACCATACTGAAAGAAAAACAAAAGCACAGAAGAACTGTCAATCGATCGGTTACTAGATAGTGTAATTACCTTGTGAGCAGCCACGAACAGATCAATACCTCGCTGCTCTATCAAGGATGCATCCAAATGACCCGTGTAAAGGAACTCGACCATCGCTTTCACAATGTTGAAGGATGCATCTTTCATGTCGATCCTGGAGGAGTTGCTTTCGATGTTAAGTTTCAATATCTGGAAGATAAAACAGCGATATTAGCTCTGTGAAGCTTCAGTTCATCACCAGGAGCTCACCTTGGATGCGCCAGACAAAAGAAGTTTTAATGCTTCGATATGCCTCCCTTCTGCCCAAAGCTCGATCGTCTCATGTTTTCCGCTATGAAACACGCTCTTCCAGTTTTTTTGTATGATTTCTGGAATGGCGTTCTCATGAACCGTAGGTTCTTTCACATTGTTAGCAACGTAGTGTCTAATGGTTGCTTCCGCCAGTAGCTTGAGCATCGAGTCCCAGTGACGATACTCCCATCCTACGTAAAAGTCAGTCCAAACCATAAACAAAGTGAATCCATCCATACCTTTCAGATAGAGCGACGACTTGAGCTCCACGCGACCAACAATGGTGGTTTTTGATGAAAATCTACTTTCCTTGTTTCCAAAACACCTGTGTGCTTGACGTCGTGACGGATGATGGAAATCCGATGGGTGGCTGGAGTACCAGCAGCCTTGGCACAAACACTCGCTCCATGCTTGATAAGAAGGTCGACCATTTCCAAGTTCCGAGATTGCTCGTATTTGTACACTGCTAGATGCAATGCAGTCATTCCCTGGACAATCCAATCCAAGTTGCGATGAACAGGAGGAACAAACAAAAAAACAGTGAAAGAAAATCTCACATCATCATTGTAGGCATTGACATCCAGCTTCCTGTTCTTAAGCAACCCTTCCAAGGCCGTGACATTCCCATCCTCTACGCAGCGAAAGAATGTGGCTTGATCCAGCCGCAGATCATGCCCTGCATCATCCGACAGTCCTACAACTTCTACCGAGGGCTTCACCTGATCAAGACGAGGACTCGCAGCGCTGGCGCTCAATCTTGGGGAAGAAGCCGCCGCCCCAGCCGATAGCAAAGATTCTTTCCCAAGCGACCCCGACAAATCCACGGACTCCAAAGATTCCAGCTTCGGCGGGAGCTCCTGAGGATCCGCGATCGGTAGCGCTTGATCTCCTTCCAAGAGCCTTGGCACCGGCTCCAGGCGCTCGTCCGCCATTGCCACGCCGTACAGCGAAGCCCTCGCGGTGTCAAACAAATATGAAATGTAGGAAAGGCCAAGGGTTTATGCTAGACATTCCGTAACGTAAATCTTTCGATCCAACGGCCATCGGGCAGCCAATCCGACGGTTAATACGAGGGATATTCTGCTTTTAGTGGATGGAATGTATTTCAAACGTTGACAAAGATGTGTCCGTACAGGCTTCGCTCAAATTATGTTCCATTTTAGGGTCTTTCTTTCGTGTGATTCCCCCGCATTGAGATGCTTCAAGAAGGGCGGCGATGGCGATCACTGGCGCCGGGAGTGAAGCCGGGCGAGCGATCGATCTGGTATGTGCTCCCTCGGATCTTTCTCCGGCAAATTTAATTCCCTCTCTCCAGGTTCTTGGAGCATCTGAGAGGGATATTTTAGGCGATTTCCGCCGCGTTAGCTGCTTCTTAGGCGACGAGACGATGAATTCTTGGAGGATTCTTTAGTTCTTCTTTGGCAATCTTGCAGGTTTTGGTAGCAAAGATGAGCACGGCAGTGCATGGCACCAACAAGAACCCTCCTAAGCGCGGGCCTTCTCTCTCGAGAAAAAAGACGCCATCGGAGAATGGCGGCAGCGCTCTGCAAAAATCGCGCAGTGGCAGTGGCGGGATGATCTCGTGAGTTCGTTATTTTTTCTTTCTTATCCACTTTCCCGACACTAAACTTGTTTTTAAAGATCGGGTGGGACAGCGGAACGCACAGTGAAAAAGCTGAGACTTTCCAAGGCCTTGACTGTTCCCGATGGAACATCGGTCGCGGATGCATGCAAGCGAATGGCGAATCGCAGGGTTGACGCTGCTTTGCTTACGAATTCGAGTGCTCTTCTTTGTGGAATCATCACTGATAAGGTAACGCTAGATAAATAACTTTAGCTTGTATTCCTAGCTTTCGAACTTGTGTGTTTAGGACGTCGCAACTCGAGTGATTGCTGAAGGCTTGAGACCCGAAGATACCCCCGTTTCGAAAGTGATGACACGGAATCCTACCTTTGTTATGAGCGATTCTTTGGCGGTGGACGCACTTCAAAAAATGGTTCAGGGTATGTTGATTTGCTGTTTCATCCTTGTATCTGATCTAGAGATATCGGTTGTTTTACAGGAAAGTTCAGACACTTGCCTGTCGTAGACAATGGCGAGGTGATTGCACTTTTAGACATCACGAAGTGCCTGTATGACGCTATAGTGCGCATGGAGCGGTCTGCATTGAAGGGCAACGCGATTGCAGCAGCTGTGGAGGACGTTGAACGTCAATGGGGAAACACGTTTTCTGGTAAGAAATGTCCCAGCATAAACAGAGTTCTAATTGAAATATTCTTGCAGGGCAGTCAAATTTCGTTGAGACATTGAAAGAGAGAATGTTTAGGCCGACGTTAGGAACACTAGTTAATGAGAATACGAAGTAAGACAACTAGTTGTTAGCGAGATTACTTTTAACGCATCTACCTTTTCAGAGTAGCCACTGTTGCGCCCGGTGATAGCGTTTTTACTGCGACAAAGAAGATGCGTGAATTGAAGGTTAACTCCGTAGTAGTAACTGTTGGAAACAAGCCTGTGGGTATTCTCACGTAAGTCAGCCTTTTTTCATACTTTTTCCTCATCAATAATTCGAGCAGATCCAAGGACGTGTTAATGCGAGTAGTTGCAGTTGGTGTTGCTGCTGATATACCAGTTGAAAAGGTACAGGCATCGAGATTGCAGTTGAAAGCTTACTACTTTTGTAATGTCTGTTTTCTGCCAGATTATGACGACAAATCCAGAATGTGCAAACTTGGAAATGACGATAGTGGATGCCCTCCATACTATGCACGATGGCAAATTTCTCCATTTGCCAGTGATAAATAAAGGTTGGCTTGGTGCTTCAGCTTTCTGTTTTCTTATCGTCTTTTGTTTTCAGATGGTCATGTTGTATCTTGTGTTGACGTTCTTCATATTACGCATTCAGCTTTCGCAACGGTCAGTTTTGAAGTAAAGCGTTTACGAAAAACTTCATATCGTGTTGTTTGGTCTTTAGGTTGGCTCTACTCCAGGACCAGGGGATGGAGGAATGATGCAAAAATTCTGGGATTCGGCTTTTGGACTAGAACAGTCTACCGAAGACGACGACGATTCCAGAAGGTAAAACTCTGAATTTGCTACTTTTTTGACTTAACATGCTTGCGGCCAGTGATGTTTCAGCTAGACTCCATCTTCATGCTGAGGGAGGAAAGGGTTCAGCAAACACATTTTCATTTAAGCTAGAAGACAAGAAGGGCCGAGTCCATCGGTTCCAATGCGGCGAGTGATTTTTCTTCTTTTCTTGTTTTTATTTTGCAATTCGTGACTGAGGGCTATTTTTCAGGCTCTGAAACTCTAGTCGATTTGGTCGCCGTCATAAAGAACCGAGTGGGGATAGATGTTCCACAAATACTGGTATTTATCATTTACATTTTCTGTGCGACGCTTTGTTTACTTTTGGTGGGGCTTCGTATATATCCTTCCAGTACGAAGACGACGAAGGGGATAGGGTTTTACTCGCTACGGACAGCGATCTTGTAGATGCACTGCGATTTGCTAAAGTCTCCGGCTCGAAGGTAATGCGTTTGAACCTTACCTGCAATCTTAAAAACCTATTAAATCTTCATTTGCAGGGCTTGCGGTTGTTCCTGGACGAGTCGACCGAGAGCCCCTCTGCCGTAACAAAAAAGAAAACTCCCAGACCAGCTGGTGGGGTACCATCGTCCTTCGACTTTGCATTCAAAGAGAGCTGGCCTGCGTCTACGACGACGGCAACTATTGCTGCGGGTGCAGCTATGGTGGTTGGATTCAGTCTCCTGGCATACCTGAGAAGGTCCAACCCGTAAGTAGCATCAGAAAAACATCGAATAAGTTGATCAACTTCTTCCTCTTCGCATAAAAAGCTCTAAAGGAAGGCTGGGGGGGCAACGTAAAGGTTAGCTGTGCCATAGAACTTTGTAGTTCTGACCGAGTTTTTCTTGCGGCTTGTGGTGCAGAGAAGCTCTGCTCACGAAAACGAAGTCGTTGATATCACACCTCAAACCGAAGCAACGGCAGCGCATAAGATTTGTTTGGCTGTCCGATGATAAGTTCCCTTAACTTACATGCTTTGGATTCACTACTCTGTCGTCAGATGATATGGAATTCAAAGCTGTGGCAGAAAGAACACTCGAGAAAAGGAGGCGTTGGTGGAAATCTGATGAAGAACAAGCCAACTTTCTTTCTGGTGTCCGAATTCCAGGAAGCGTAGAGCTCGCAGAGCGCGAAAGTTTGGATAGATCAACAATGCCAACCGCATTACGAGGGGCGTACGTATTTTCATACGTTTGAGACGAGCGTCACAGCTGGCCCCCTGGCCAGAATAGCGAGGCGCCAAAAAAGTATAAAATGAAAGGGAGGTCGCACAAATCAATGCGCTATGGCATCTTCCTTGCTCGCCACCCGGATAAAGGATGAAGAGATTCCGGAATCTCTTCATTTCGAAACGGGCGAGGAGATGGAGCGCTGGGATTCGCACTACGCTGCCATGATTGCCAGATCTTTCCCATGCTACGTAGAATTGGCCACGAGATGGACGGCCGGGATTTGGTAGGCGCTCACTATGATTGCCAGGTTATTCCAAGCATTGGGAAATTTTCTCCCCTACCTGGCACAACGAGAAATGGTGGTAGGTGAAACCTTGTGTGAGACAAAGCTTCACCTAAACCATTTAAACCGGGCAATGTGACTTTTCTTTACTTTTCACCGCAGTGAAAAAGAGAATTATCCGCCAGGGTTTATGTTAATGTGATCCCTACTTCCAGTTCTTTGGCTTGTTTTGCTGCGCCTTGGCGGAGGCGGCAACGAGGCGATCGCTCGATGGATAATCGCTGATCTGCCAGTGTCGCGGTGAAATTTCCGGCTCTCGTTTGCTAGCGCCTCGATTCCAGGTGATTTTGGAGCTCCGGTTTGGTTCTTGGGAGTTATTTTCGATGATGAATCCATCGCTCTCCCTGGATTTCGTGAAATTCATGGATTCTCTCTCTCTCTTTCCCTGGATTTCTCGCTGTGCGGATGGTCGTTTCCCCTTTGCCTGGCTGATTTCTCGATTTTTCTTTGGCGGTCCAGGGGAAGAGAAATGGGAATCAAATGGCTCGAGTACACACCAGTGGAGCGAATGAGCACGAAAGAAGATAGCGATGTCGAATATCTATACGTGGAAGTTAAAGGTGAGGATAGTTTCCATGAAATTTCTTTTATAAAAGTGCTTGATTGGCCTGGATTTTGTCGACCACCGTGTGAACCAGCTCCACGCATGGCCGGCTTGACTCTCAAATGCTTTACCTGGATGATGGAGTCCACTATTGGAACTTTTTTTCTAAAACCAAAGCTTAAGAGGGACAATCTTATCACAAAGGTTAGTGATCATAGTTTGTCTTGCTCAATGTGTTGACATTGTTTATGGCAGACATTTGTGCAATCCCGGTATGATGAGCCTCCCATGTTTCAGCCTCATTTCTCATTGCCAGGTAGTTTTTTTGTGAGATCATATAACCTGAATTGGTATTTAGATAGAGCATTTACTTTACAGAACCGGAGGATGGTGTGCTGACGCTTGACTCGAGTCTTTCGGTTCCTGGTAGAGTTTCCCGCTCGTTGGACTGCCTTGGTAGCCTTCACGAAAGGAAAGCCGGGGATGGAGCATATGTGTTTCGGCACTGGACTATCCGGGACTATACACACGCTTATAAGTCTGGCCGCATTACGCCAACACAGGTGATATTGGTTTTTTTAGTTTAAGCACTGCATTGGATTTAGCGCTCATGCGATTGATCATGCAGGTGGCAGAGAGATTTCTCTCTGCGGTCGACGAGTCTATAAAAGGACAACCAGGAATGAGTATCTTTATCGCATATAATCCTCGAGATATACTTCGCCAAGCAGAAGAGTCCACTTCCCGATACAAGCAAGGTACAAGTTTGTTTTTCTCCACGATTACTTTCTAAATCTTTGACATGAAGGGAAACCTTTGTCTGTTCTCGACGGAGTTCCAATTGCTGTGAAAGACGAGCTTGATTGTCTGCCATACGACACCACCGGTATATTTTAATTTAGCGTTAGTAGTCACTTTATAAACGTTTCGCTCATTTCAGGCGGCACGAAATGGATGAGTAAAGTGAGAGATGTCAAAGAAGATGCAGCATGCGTATCGAAATTGAGGGCGTGTGGAGCGATGCTTGTCGGAAAAACCAATATGCATGAGCTCGGGCAAGGCACTACTGGCATCAATCCTCACTATGGGTATCACATTTATATACAAAACGTATTTTCGACTCATGACCGTGTTTGACAGGGCAACACGAAATCCTTATAACAAAGCAAAAGCGTCTGGGGGATCATCTGGAGGTTCAGCTGCTGCAGTGGCTTGTGGACTCTGTCCTGCTGCATTAGGAGTCGATGGCGGAGGTAATGTCCAGCCACGAGACTTCAAGCTCATGTCTCGTTTACAGGCTCTGTGCGCATGCCGGCAGCACTCTGCGGGATTGTTGGATTGAAAGGCACATTCGGGCGTATCTCGTCTCATGGGTATGTCTTTTAATTTCTTCTCTTCACGTAGATGTTTACGATTTAGAGCAGGGTGCTTCCTCTAAACTGGACAGTTGGAAGCGTTGGGGTATTGGCAGCAACGGTCGAGGACACGCTTATAATGTATTCGATTTAAATTATCAGTTTTCTCTTTTCTCATAAAACTACTGTAGGTATGCAGCTGTTCATGGCCATCTTTCTAGCGACCGCATTGTTTCAATACCTGTAAGATGCCACTGAACTTTTTTATTACCTTCACATTGTCAACAACAAGTCTGTCCTTATTGCAGCCTCAGGTCACTCTGCCACAGTTGAACCGTATCGAGAACGAGGCTATTGGCAGTTTAAAACTTGCAAAATACACCGAGGTTATCAAGGCTATGAGGCCTGTAGTGTTTGCTGACGATCTGCTTTTCATCCAGTGGTTTGATGATTCGGATCCTGATGTGAAGGACCGATGTTATGCAGCCTTGAGTAAACTACAGAAACGATATGGTTGCAAGGTGAGCGTGATTTTTTCCTGTTTACTATCAGCTGAATGGTGTAATTTTGAACAGACGGTTGAGGTCACTATACCAGAATTGGAGGAGATGCGTTTAGCACATTTTGTCACAATCGGCTGCGAGTGTTACAGCTCCATTGGAATCCAATATGAAAACGTGTAAGAACGTATACTGTGGATCGAGAACTAAGTGCTTTTTTTGCAGAGGTGTAACCGCTACTGGTGCGGATATCCGAGTTGGATTTTCTCTGTATAAATCCTTTACGAACACCGAATATCTTTCAGCGCAACGCATGAGGCAAGCCTTGAAATCTCTTTTTGTAAATAACTGGCACTGGCTTTACACAACAGGTATCGCCAAATGTACTACCATATGCAGATATTTAAGAACGCAGATGTGATCGTAACTCCTACCACAGCGTGAGCTTGTTAGAACCTTGGTTGCATACTCTGATGCCTTGATCCACAGGGCAACAGCACCGTCTATTTCGTTGGACGCTCTTGAATGTGGAGAACTCAACTATGTCTATGGAGGTAGCCGTCTTGAGTTTTGCTAATGTTCCAGCGATTTGTTTCAACGTGAATCATTGCAGCTAAACTCATGCGGTACCAGATTGCTGGGAACTTCATCGGACTCCCCGCGATATCCGTGCCGGTAAACCACATGAACAAACTCCATCTCTAGCTAGCTCAATCTTTGGAGTTACCAGGTTGGATTTGACCAGGCGGGCATGCCGATTGGCATCCAACTTATCGGGAAACCATGGTCGGAAGCTACGCTGCTCAGGCTTGCATACGTGATTGAGGTGAGAGATCACGTTCTCCATTCACAGAGATGATAAAAGCTTTTTACTCTACAGGGCCTTTGTGCTGCTGAGAGCCGGCGGCCAGAGGTGTTGTTCGATCTCTTGCTATAAATTGGGCGAGCTTTGTTTATGCAATGTAATTTTTAGTTTTTATCTAATTAGAGCTTAATGTTAGTACTTGGCCTCTCAAACGGTGTCACCTTTTATAAAGGGAGATTTTAAAACTTGAGGGCGGGCTTACAAAGTGTCATCAGATCATCAGAGAAGATGATCTCGATGATGTTGCGCGACGAATCGCCACGCCCCAGCTCCGACACTGAAGAACACAAAGAATTAGAATGATCGTGGAAACGGTTGATCAAAGAGAGAATATTTTGCGACCATCAAGTGGAAGAAAGGAAAATACTCCAAATTTAGACCACGGCCATATATATATATATATATCTAGGTAGAAAGTTTTTATATATGGCAATGCTTCGGGCAGGTCGGTTATGCCGGAGGTTTTCTTCTCTGTCAAAGGCGTCGCTAGACGTAGATGGTGTCTTCATGAACCGATGCGAACTGGCGAAGTTGCAGAGGGCGCTATCCAAGCGCCCGGGAGATGCCGGAGTCGTGGCGGCTCTGCAGGGGCCCAAGTCGTCGGGCAAGACCATGCTGATCAGCGAGTTTTGCAGGAGGCAGCGGAAAGGTATGTTTGCTGGAACGTCCACGTACGTGAGTCTTCGTCACCCTGGTGTCACCGACCCCGGGCGCTTGGCCGCGGGCCTCATGGGGGGCTTCCTCAAATCCGTATCGTCTTTCCGGGCTGTAGACACCGGGAACGATGTGGTCGGGCAATGGGCGATGGAGGTGGGGTTGAAGGATGAAGACTTGGAGACTCGTCCATTCGGCTATGGACACTTCCGACTGTTTGAGGAGCCAGAGCCCACGGGGATGGTTGCAGTGCTAGACGCTCTCAGGCGATGTTTCCTGTCATGGAAGAAGATCTTAAAGCTCGAGGGCGGGCTCTATACGAAGGGTTTCCCTACAATCTTTGTTGACGAGGCCAGTGCTTTGATGTCGTGGACGGAAACGGCTGATGGGAGAGCGGCCATGGACCTGCTTTTCAGATGTCTGTTGGCGATGTCCCAGGAGGATTGTTCGACTAACGTCGTCCTGGGGTCGTCGGAGAGCTTCTTTGAGCGCTGGCTGGGCAACTGCACCCCCCTCGGAGGTCATCGTGTGGCGCAGTGGTACGTTGGACATTTCCCGGAGCCCCTCGCCAAGGCATATTTCATGCGCCGGGTAGGGGAAGCCAAGCAGGCGGAGGTTGCTCCTCTGTGGGATGGCGTCTATCGCCTCTATGGCGGACAGGCGCTCGAGCTGAACCTCTTGGCGGGCTTGATTTGTGATTCTGAGCCGGGCGAAGCTGCGGAGGTCTTTCGAGGAGAAGCAGGGCTCTCAACCAGCAGTGCAGTTTCGGATGTGGTGTCAGGCTGGTCTCCCCGCCGCTTTGAGCGCTTTGATGGGAGAAGCGATGCGCTGTGGAAGCCAGAGGAATGGACTGAGGTGATAAGGGTGTGTGCAAAGGCGCCGGATGGTGTGGTGCCCAAGTGCGAGCTCAAGATAGCGCAAGATAGCGTTGACTCCATGATCGAGCACAATCTCCTTCAAGTGCAGCCTGTTATCAGCTGGGCTGAGAGCAGGACTGATCAAGACTTAGATTCCTATCCGCTTGACTCCATGATCGAGCACAATCTCCTTCAAGTGCAGCCTGTTATCAGCTGGGCTGAGAGCAGGACTGATCAAGACTTAGATTCCTATCCGCTTGTCATGCCAATGACAAAGGCAGAGCACCATGGGATGAAGGGGCTAGCCCGTCAATTTTCTTAAAGAATGTAATCATAGTCAATTAAAGTCAACGAATAGTTATCTTCAACCTTCACTTAGATTTTTCAACGAGAGTGAGGACGGTAAAGTCGAGACTTTGTTCTCCAAACATTGCTATAATTGATTAAAGGTTCCTTTGTGATAAGCTAGAACGAATCGAAACGAGAACGTATATCGTTAAGTTTAAGCCGGGGTTTTCGCTCCCCAGCCCTAACCCAGGAACTCACGCAAGCGAGCGCGCTTGGGGCGAAGAGAGGCGGCGATGAGCGTCCTGACGCTGGATCTGCGGCCTGGCGCTGGCATCGGCGCCTTCAGCCTAGGTATGGTTCCATCCTCCCGCGGAATTGACCTAGAATTCTTCTCTCCGGGCGCTAGCTGAGCTTGACTCTCGAGAAATTCGTGTCCAGGGATGCCAGTTTGTGAGGCGCTTGCTTATATCGAGCAGCATCACTCCGTCTTTGATGTCGTGCACATCAAATTCAACGACGAGGTGGAGAAAAATTGCTTTTTTCTTTCCTTTCTCCTCATTAACGACACTCGTTCAGGATCCGCTACAATTCGACCTTGTTATAAGTTTTCCAGAGCATGGATTTCACCTTCGTTTCGAGCCGCGGACGCAGGTCTGCGATTTTCTTGCTTTTTTTTTCTTCTTGCTTTCTCACCAATGGTAAATGCGTCTATTCTATTCTAGAGGCTTCGTCTGATAGAAGTATATGATGTCCAGCGCTTGCAAATGCGGTATGCCACGTCCTCGATTGGGTGAGCTCGCTAGCGTTTTTCTCTCCTTAATGGAATTTCTCGAGACTTACACTTTACAGAGGTCCCAGTGTCGCGGCTACCTTCGTTGCCGTATACGCACTCTTTGGCCCAACGTTTCCGGGATCGTTCGATGCAAAGCGGAATATCTATACTCTCTTCTATCCTGTAAGCCTTGTTTTTCAAACTTCCCAGCTTGAAGGTGGGGCTTTATGATCATCTTTGCTTGCAGGGCCTGGCGTTCACATTTCCGATTCCTGGCCAGTACACTAACTGCTGCCAAGATCGAGAAGGTAAGAGATCTACGTCCTGCACATAATGGCAATGTTTCTGACTTTCATTTTTTCGTTTTTTGGCTAAACCAGCTGAGCTGCCTATTGAGTTTCCAGATGGAACTACTCCTGTGATGTCTCGCGTCTGTATATATGACAGTGCACTTGGTGGTAATGTGGAGGCTGGCGCTAACCTTGCGGCTCTGATAAAGAAAGCCATCCCACCGCAACTACCTTCAGGAAGTTTATACATGGAAGAAGTCCATGCAAAGGTGCTTTGTCTTTGTAAGTTTCTTATGCCTGCCATCTAAACTTCTTCTCTTTTGCATCAACAGCTCGCTGAGGACCTGTTCTTTACAACCAGTAAGAAGCGCCTGCCGTTTGGAGCGTCTCCTCAGGACGTGTGGGCAGAACTTGGCCGCCCCGACGGAATTCATCAAAAGCAGGTAACTATCGACATGAGAGAGAGAGAGAATCAGTCACAACAATCTTTTCGTGTTACTCAGGTGGATCCTATGGTTATACACTCGGCATCGGATCCAAGGCCGAACTCAGCCCTTTGTGGTGACTACTTTTACAACTATTTTGCTCGTGGCTTAGACATCCTTTTCGACGGTCAGGTGAATAACTAGTCTTTTCCTTCCGAGTTTGTGACCCTGGAAATTTCTATCACTGCAGACACACCGGATTAAAAAGTTCGTCTTGCACACGAACTTCCCGGCCCATACCGATTTTAACTCCTACATAAAGTGCAATTTTGTTATACACTGCCCGTGTAAGTAGTCAGTTTGAATACTTAGTGTTCTTAGGATGACCCCTTTCTCTAGTGACAGGAAGCGACGAGAAAGATTCACACTATGTCATAACTGGCGATACAAAGTGGCCTCAAATCCAGGTTTGAGGCTTACCAAGCTTTGCTTTTTCTATCTAGTCTCGAGTAATAACCCGTGTGCTTTTGTGTATCTAACAGCAGCTCTTGGGAGACGCCGGCCGAGCAGCCATTCAAACGCAAGGCTCGGTTAGCAATCCGTTCGGGCCAACCTTCGTCTATGGCTACCGAAACATCGCATTTGAAGTAACCATATTCCCAAGTCTCTCTTTGGAACTCAGTGTGTTTTTTTTTTTCTTTGTTTCTTGTAGGTTATGAAGAACGGCCACATAGCAACTGTGACACTCTTCCAAACGAATTAGAGCGTCGCAAGAACCAATCTCTCTCAAAACTCTCAAATTGTACAGGATTGATGTAAATACTGCCCATCGCTTCGTGTGAATACGAATAATACAAGAAAGATGTTCTTGATTTGGTGTTCTTGGTTAGCTACAAAGTTTCTTAAAAAAAACTACCAGGAATCTCGGAGAGCTCGATGGTTGGTCAGCTCTAAAGGAGAAAAGAGAAGAAAAAAAATTTACACTGGATCGTCCATTCCTTTTTTCACAATGCCTCGTGACACCCCGCCGTTTGCAAGAGCACTGCTTTGATCTCTTCGGGGGCGATCTCGGCATCGCTACATTGCTGCAAAACAAGCCACCATTACCATTTGCACGAGAGGAAAAGAGAACTTATACCTCGGCACGAAAGACGTCGAGGACGAAGCCATTGAAGCAGCTGATAACAGCCTGCTGGACGTCCAGGCCAAGATCATCCAGAGCTCTCATTGTGGAGAGCAAAAGGCCTGGCGTTCTCGCGCAGAACATATGAATGTTAATTCCCTTGCCATCCCTTGTTCTCACCTCCACCTACAAAGACAAAGCCAAGGGGAATAAAAAAAACCATGAGAAAGGAACCACTTGGTCTTATACTACTATAGACTCCTACTATAGTACCTTTGCTGGCTGGAGATCTGTAGGAGGCCCGGGGAGCAACGGAAGCGGGGAGATGCTGGACGCCGGACATTCCTCCTTGACGCAAGGAGCGAAACTTTGGGGCGAAAGCAACGCTCCGGATTGCTGCTGTGGCGGAATTCCCATGCTCCCTCCATCTGCTGGGCCTTCCAGCTCGCTGTGGAGCTCGTTGATCCTCTGGAGGAGCTCCTTGAGATACTCGATCGCGTCACCCAGAATAGATGCTCTATCCATCTGACAAAATCAAACCAAGTTGAGTGTGAGTGAGAGCGAGAGGAGAAAAAGAGGTAAAGGCATGGAAAGAGGAGCGGGCGAGTGAATGCCAAGTTGCCCGAGTGGTTTGAAAGTACTCACCTTTGTAATTTTGGGGACCACCGAGCGAAGCATGTACAAGCGATCATTAAGCTTCTTCCGCCGTCGCCGCTCCGCCATGAGATTCTTGGCCGGAAGGCCCTTGCGATTCCCCCGGCCGGAAGGGCCCTTGTCCGCCGCCTGGTGGCCGCCCATCGCCTCGTCATTCTCGCACAGAAGCCCGGATCCATCGTCCATCTCCTCGTCCTCGCGGAGCTCCAGATCGACGGTGGCCATGTCGTCGGACGCCGACAGCACCGGGCTCCTCTTATGGACCAGCGGCTTCTTGCTCGGGCTGCTCGGCGGCGGCGGCGCTGGATGATGGAGAGAATCGTCGCCCATCTCGAGGGAAGAATCCGGCGGCGCTTTGATCGCCCCGACGGCTGCTGCTATGGATGGAGATGTTTGCCCGCTCCCTGTATGCTGCTGCTGCTCGTGATGGTGATGGTTGTTCTTCCCGGACTTGGGCTTGGTCACCATCGAGGAGTGATCCTTGAATTCTCCTCCACTGCCACCTCCAAAGCAGTCGCCAAAAATGCCATTGCCGCTCTTGATCATCCCAATGCTGAGGCTGCTCCCAATTCCACTGAAATTCCCAAAGCTCGCGCCAGTGCTGGGGCCGAAGAGAGCTGGGAAGTCGAGGATCTGGCTGCCCGCCATGTCGGGCAGGAAGCCCGAGTGGAGATTGGCCACCGAGGACGAGGAAGAACACGCCGAGGAGGAAGCGGTGGCGTGGTGGTGGAAGCCGTTCCGGATGGGAGGCGGCGGTGGCAGCAATCCGGGCGAGAAATCGGTGATGAAGCAGCCGCCGGGCATGGAGGACTCGTCCAGGAAGGCGGACAAGCCGGTGGACCTGGCGTCGGATTTGCTGGCGGAGTTTGAGGCGGCGGCGGCGGCAGCCATGAAGTGGTGATGCGAGGGCTGCGCTCCTCCTCCAGCGGCGCTAGGGTAAGAAGGCATGTCATCGATGAGCGAGCCATCGTACCAATCCTCCTCAAACGAGCCGTGGAGTGCCTGATCGACCACCATAGCCTGCGCGGCAAGGGAAATTTCTCATCCAGGCGATCGATCACGCGGAGATCCAAGAAAGAATACCTTGTGCGGTGGCTGATGCTGCTGCTGCTGCTGCCGATCGTCCCCTATCGGCACCGTCCTGCGAAATTTCGAATCAAACAGTGAAAATTTCGGGAGAATCGCGGCAAGAACAGCACCTCATCTCCGATCCCTCGCCCCAGATTCCCTCCCTGCACAAGACGCTCGCATCCGACGCCATGGAATGAGAGCGCGCGCGCGCCGCGATGGTCGATCACCTCTCGGATTTCGGCATCACGAATGGCGCATTCCCGTCCCTGCGATCGCGATCATCTTTGTAGATTCGCCAGCGCCAAATTCTTTCTTGGCGGGGCGGCGTTGCCAGGCACCGCCCAACACGAAACACAAGGAAGCAAATCAAAGAAAAGGAAAAATTCACCGCACTTGAAATTCTTACCATGCGAGCTCCGTTTGTGTGACGGAACCGTCAGCCAAACGAAAAAGCGCGCCCTCCGTCCGGGCGACTGACTCCGCTAGACCGTCGGGCGTCAGCCCCGTCGGCGTGTACGGCGCCCGTGCCGTCGGATCTTACCGCATCGCACGGCTCCTGCAGCGCCACGGCGGTCCTCGGCATTGAATGCCGCGAATGCGACGGGTTTGAAGAACACACCAACCCGTTCGTACCATCGTCTAGATCATGTATCGTACGGACGATGATCAATCCTATTAGGAGAACTTGCAATGAACAAGAGAAAAAGGAGAGAACGAGAAACGATAGGCGCCGTGCTAGTCCCAAAGAGGAACGTCAACTTCATTAGGTCTTAATAGGTGGTGGGGCAAGATTCTGGAAAAAGGGAATCTTTACATACAGGGGCTTCTTCGATTTGATCAGTGCACCGCCTTCTCAAAAGCAGACGTAACCAAGCCCATGAAACAATTAGGTTGGAAAAGTTGGCGCAGTGGAATTCTCTGATTGCTTGGAATGGAATGGAAAGAAGATTGATGGACTGGTTGATTGATTGATTGATTGATTGCGTCCAAGCGTGTGGAACAACCAGACAACGTCATCCATGTGAGAGAAGCTTTCGCGCACAGCTTTGCGGGGGGAATTTTTGCAGCATCTCCTTTGTTCTTCGTTTTATCTTCCCTGTGGCTATCAAAGAAAAAAACAAAAGCAACGCCGCGACACAGGAAGGAGGATCAGAAGAAGCAAGAGGAAACAAACATATATACTTCTCTTTTGTGCTTACGAGCAAGACGTTATAAGTCGCGTCCTAATGCGACACTGGATCGATCGCTGCTGCGGCTGTGCTGTGCTGTGCTTGAATGGAGCGAAGGATGAGGATCTATCTCTGTCGATCGAAACTGACGTTCGCCCATCATCTCACTCTGGTGTTTTGCTCAAGTAATCTCGGATAAAAGTCGCTCTCCCTGACACATAAAACACGCAGAGTATAAACTTTTCAAGTGTACAAGCAAGAACCTGTTCCCGGTTCTTCGAGCTTTGTCGTGTGCTTCATAAATGTAACCAATCGCTGGCTTCCCAAATTCGCCTCCTATTCAGGTCAGCCACATCAATCAGATAAACTCACTCGGAGTTTTCTAAAGAGAAAACAAAAGCTTGTTTTCTCGAATAAATCTCTTACCAAACAACACGCTCGCCAGTGTGGTCACCACACTCACATGCAAAAATCCGAGAGAGTGCACAAGAGAATCTAGCAAGGTGGTGGAGCTGCACAGACAAACGAAATCCGAGATTTGTAAGTTTTCCTCGTCTCGAGATGCGTAAAAAATTGGCTGGAAAGCGAGAGACGGGAGAAAAGGGAAGAAAACAAACAAAGCAACCAACCTGGATGGACGAGGAATTGGGAAACAACGCCGTACAGGAAAATTGGCGATTCTTGAGGTGCCTCCTGAGATAGATCTGGATGGCGTTTCTTTAGCTCAAGACGCACGAAGCTTCTCTTTTCGGTGACCACTCGGGAACACCTACGAGTATTAGATCTGCAGAAAAGAAAGAGAGAAAAGATAAAAGCCAAACAACAAACAAAAGAGAAAGCCAGCCTTGCTACCTTTGTCCTTTTTCTCCAGCTGTTGGAATTTCATCCTTGTTGATGAGTTCGGTTCCTTTGCACCAAATGCCGCGAGGGGAGGTATGAATTTCCTGCACATTCAATTCCCAAGAGCTTTTAAGATCCTTTCTTTCCTTTCCCTCGCGAGCGAAATGAAGAACTTGCCGTTGAAGTGGAGTCGAGTGTGTCAAAACTTTAAAACCAATGAATGTCAAACCCTGTGGACAAATCTTGCGTGTTCTGTAGCTTCGAAGCTGGGAGAGGAAGCATTATTCATGCGTGATGGCTGGCTGGCACACGCCTGTTGACAAAATCTACACTGATTTGTCAAGAATCTGGGGCAAAAGCAAAATTACCTGGCTGTTCTTGAGCGGCAATTTAAGTCACAAATCTCTTTCCAAGTTGTGACCTCTCCAAAGACTTCCATTAGTTTTTGATTTCCTAATTTTTTCTTCCTCCTCTTTTCGCTGCGTATTTCCTGCACAGCAGCAGCTGCAGCAGCAGCAGCATCATCATCTTCGTTTCTAACAGAATGAAATGGAAATGCTTAAAACAAGTCACCTCTGTTGGCGACAAGGACGACGCTCTCTCTCTCTCTTTGCGTTTGCGAACGAGAGACTAATGTTCTTCCCGCAAGCGCAGATGTTAAAAATCGCGTTCGTCCCAAGTTTTAATGTCCTATGCACATGCCAGGAATTGAAATAAAAACTCGCGACAGCGACGCGTCTGGATCCAGCAGCGCAGCGAGCAAGCAGAGCGGCAAAAGGAATGTCAACCTCGGGAGCTATCGGATCAAGATGATCCTCCCGGAAACATCAGCGTCAAGAGAAAAGAAAAAGAGGCACACAAACAACAAAACCATCGGTCGCAAGCCAGGCGACGCGGCAGCGCCAATGCAGCGCCGCAACAGTAATCTAATCCACCCCCGAATCTAAAATTCAATGCTTACCGGAGCCCTACTACCGCCCGCGCCCATCGCCATCGCCATCGCCATTGCCCCCAAAACCCTAGAACAGAGTGTTAGGGCTTTAGTTTTAAATTTGGAATATTCACCACTACTTGGCGCGGGATTTTCGGGTGCATTGAACTTGGATGCCCAGCATAAAGAAATCCAGCCCTGTTTATACATTTTTCTCTTTGTAGCAGAGTCTTTTGTAGGGAGCACCAGCTTTACTCCTTGGATTGTGGAATTCACCAAAAAGTATAAAATAGACAGCCAAATTATAAAATAAAACTCTAAAAAATAAACCAAGAGAAAATTTCAGATGCGTTTCATAAGGCGCCTCCCAAATTCGCGGCCTGGCACCAAATTTTTTAAAATCCGCTGCCCGATTGATTGATTCCCATGGGTTTAGCTTCGGACAGCTCAAAGACACAAGCCTTTCTATTTTTATCTCCCCGCGAGCTAAAGAATCACTAAAATCAAGCCACAAGCCACGACTGGGTCTCGGCACCGCCCTCCACGGCCATCAAGGTCTCTTTCCTAAAACCATGAAAAATCTCTCGATCGAATCCATATCGAATTGTGTGTTTGGAATAAACTGGAGGCACAAGCGGCCAGCGAGCAGACACCAAATGCCACATCCAAAAATTCCACACCACCCCACCAACAAGCAAGGCGCCGAGTTGACACGAGTACGGCACTAGACAATCCCCGTACGGACGCCTTTGACCGGCCAGTCTCGGCAATTAGAAAGAAAGAGAAATAGGAAAAGCTTGAAATGAGGCAGAGATTTAAAGGCAAAGAAAAGAAATCCTGGCCGCTGTCCCCAGCCTTGTCGTTCGTGCTCTTGTTGTTGCCACTGTTGCTTGTGGCGAGGCATGGCACAGAGAACACAGTGGCCCCACATTTTATGATAGACAAAGAAAAAACATCGAGTTTTGGGCATATAAAGGGCTGCGGGGAATCAATCGGGATAGATAGATTCGCTGGAGATTCGGCTGCTTGAATGAGGACACTAGCAAGGAAGGCGGGAGCAAATTGCCAAGGGGAAGACGAGACATTCAGCCAGTCGAATCAAGCGGAATCGGTATTATATCTCCGGCCGTTACAGACTTTTGGAGAGAAGAAGGTGGCGGACATTGAGTGATTGATTGAGAGTCCAAGCTCGCCAACCAAAACGGTTGTTCCTGGAAAGGGGAATCTAACTTACCCCGGTCTCCAGGTCTTGGTCTCTTTTAGGTCAAGTCGTTCTTGTTAGGGTTCTTACGGTAAGGAAAAAATGAGCTTTGACCTTTTGCAAAACCCTAAAAAAAAGCTGTCCGGCCAGCACTCACATGCCACTGCCAAATGCCACAGATGTTACTCCAGACAGCCAGTCAAGAAAGCGACACACATTAGCTTACCATTGGCTACCCAGTAGCACACAACAGCTATAACAAAAATCAAATAAGAATTTCTACGAAACTATTTCTAGACGTACAGTGTATAGCTACGAAATACGTAAACTGCAGAGCGGGGATATTCTCTTACAGATTCCTACGCCACCTATCTAGCCCTAACTTCGACGTAACGCTCATATACTCTAGTTTTTCTTGCATTGCGCCTTGTGGCCCCGCATTATTGAACGGAGCAGAATTTAGTGGATCTTCCAATGTGACTGAAGTTTCCAAGCATCAAAATCAATCAATCAGGAAACAATATATATATATACACACACACACAAAGATTTAAGATAAGCTTTGCCTGCCTCATCCTTTGCGCACATTGGGAGGAGCGCGAATTTAGACCATATCCCCTGCTGCACAACAGCAAACCAAAGGCTGGCCCGGCCCGGGGCATATTCTAATCGCTTTGACCTGGAATCTCTCCGGGACGAGTTAAGAAATGCTGTAACCCAGCATTAGGATCAATCAGTGTATCCCATTTGGATAAACTAGATTAGAATAAGATAGTTTAATGGCCCTAGCTGATGATAACAACAAGCCCTACGACGAGCAACCAAAGTCTAGCCAGCAAAACGTCGTTGGGGTTCTCTGCGTTTGTCCAGAGATTTTATTGCTGGGTTGGGCCTCTCGCGTCTCTCGCTTTATACATGAGAAAGAGAGGAGGAGCGAGAGATCTTGCGGGGAAATCTTTGGGCAGTGGCTGCCGGGATCGAGACTGGAGATCTTTCTTTGGGGGAATTGATGTTCCTCCAAGAAACTCCATCAATGGCATGACAAAAGAACCTCGCGATCATGCCAACCAAAGCCAAAGTCCCATGTTGTTGGGATTTCTCACAAAAAGGGGTTTTTTAAAAAAAGAAAACATTAAAAAAAAACGGAAAAGAGAGAAAATGACAAAAAATCGCGGGAAAATGCCAGGGAATATTCGCGCGGCACTCACGAAAAACCAAAGGAATGACGACACTAGGAAGCGGTGGGCGACTAGTATCTGGGAAATCTTTTCGCGCACCGTGTGAAGAGGGCGGGTCCGTACCCGACACCCGCCACGTGGCGCTGGACCATGACGCTCATCGGGAGGGCATATCTACGGCGACTGTCGCGCGGCAGGTAGGGACCACCCACACTCGCGGGGGGTGCGATTAAGCCCCTTGATGTGGTCATAATAACCGTCGGATTCTCCTAAATCATGCCCCTCTCGGACGACAAAGATTGTTGAAACGACGGCCAAGATTCCGCCGGCGGGGCCCACACGTGGCGCACATCGTCGCCGTCCGCAGCCGGCCGAGCGCGGCGGGGAATGCCGTCGCGATGCAGCCGACGGCCGCGATCGGCCCTTGGCACGGAATGTCCAGGGCGTGGGCTTTACATTCCATGGCCCTTCTCTCTTAACAACAGGGATGGATAGATAGCCCACAGACAGACACAACAGAATACAACAGGTTGGGAGGAAGAGACACGAGAGAGAGTGATCGATTCATCGCGTTGTTTTGCGCCTTGCGTCCGTGCGCGTTTCCTTCGATCGATCGATCGCTCGGGTTCTTGCAATCCATCCATGGCGCCGGCTGTGAGCTCCTCTCTTCTTTCCCCGCGGGGATCCGTTCTTTGTGCGAAGAAAACGGCAGCGCCGGCGAGCGCGATCTTCCTCTTCTAGCGATCGCGAATGGAGGGATTGATGTGTGCGGCAGCCAATCCATGAGCGGCATTCGACTGTATCGATCGATCTAGCAGCGCGTTTAGATCTTCCCTCTCTTCTTTCTCGAAATATTTCATTTCCCCCTCTTTGCCTCGCAATATTTCCATGGCAGTGCCCTCGGATCACCAGCACCGGCGCTCGAAGAAATCCAAGAACGGGCAGAAGAAGCAGCCGCAGCGAGGGCTGGGCGTGGCGCAGCTGGAGCGGCTGCGAATCCAGGAGGAGAGCAAGAAAGCGATGCTAGCATCGTCGTCGTTCGCGGCGGCCGGATCTTGCTTCCAAGCTCAGCAAGGTCGGGTCTCGGCGCTCTGCCTCTCGGCTCCTCATAATCCTCCTCTCCATCTCCATCACATCTCCCCGGCGCAGCAAGGATCTGGCGGTGGCGCTGCGGCGGCGTATCGCCCCTCGAATCTTCCCTTCCTCGCGTCGCTAGGGACGAGCGCGAGCTCGAGGCAGCAGCAGCACAAGGCCAGTCTCGATCCTAATCTTGCCAATATTTCGCAGCATTCTGTGATCCATCAGCTGGATCACGCGCTCATGGCGAAGATCCATGGCCAGGCCTCTGCCGATAGCAGCTCTTGCAAATCCGGGATCTCATCCGATGCCTCGGCTGCTGCTACCGTTGCCGCCTCTCACCACCTCTTTGGAAGACGCAGCGGAAGATCCTCGTCCTCCGCATCGCCGTGCTCGTCCCAGCACAACAGCAAGCCCGATCACGTCTTCGACGAGAGCGATGAGTCGAGCAGAGGCGCCGCCGCCGCTGCTGCCCCACCGTTCGTGTTCCTGGGATCTTCATCCTCGTGCTCTTCCGAGGCCAACCACAGGAGCACTACTATCCCCTTGATGATCCAGCCGGGGAGCAGTAGCAACAACATCGTCAAGGACAACCTTCCCGAGTCGTCCGAGATGTTTGATCCATTGTTTCGGACTCGCGCTCGTCGGGTCTACGGTGATGGCAGAGATTGGCCAGGGGTAAGTGGAAAGCTCTCGGGCTCTCGAGTTTGATTGATCAACCCATCTTGGTTTGGTTCTTGTGTAGATTCACACCCATGGCATTCCTGCTATCAAGGAGCTCTCTTCATTCCAAATACCAGGCAATACCATCCCAGCATTGTCGTCACCCAACAAGGTAAGCTAGTTCTTCCCAGTTCCTCTTCGATGCCCGATATGACCCACAAAGTTGGTATTTATGCCAGGCTTGTTGGACGGGTGCCCGAGATGGAGTAGCCGACTTGGGTTCCGGCTACTCGGGCTCGGTGGACAAAGGGTCCAGCGTCAAGATGATGTAAGAGTTGGAGATCTCCTTGTTTGGTTTTGTTCTAACGATTGGCCCCTTGGGTGTTTCTCTCAGTGCTACTGCTTCATCGTCGCCCAGGAGTCTCTCGGCGGCGTCGAGCTGGGCGAGATCCGAGGTTTGCTTCTCGTTCGAGCAGCAGCTCAAGGACAGCTGCTCCAGCTCGCTCAAGAACGCCGCCACCATCACCAACAGTAGCACCAACTTGGAGGCGACCTCGTCTACCAAGCCGGCTTCCTGTGACTTCCTGACGCTGGCGCTGGCAGCTCCTGATCCTCGCCCCCAATTCCACAAGCGGCCGAGCAGCGGACTGCCAGACTTAAAACCCGATGACGACGAATCGTCGAAGTTCGCGGTGACCACCCCCCAGGTGAGTGACAAAACTTAGAAAAATCCAGGACTGTTTTAATTCGCAGCACCACTTGGCGAATGCTTGAAGATCTACATGGCTTGACTGTTCGTTCGTCGTTTTTGTTCTTCCAGGAGGCGTCCGGCGAAACCGACGATCACTGGCTGCTCAAGAATCACCATCAGCTGGCCAGGAAATCGATCAAGCTCCAGCATTTTGGCACTCCATCCATGGCGCCGGCATCGCCTTTCATGCTGGACCTGAGCCTCAAAGTTCCATCGATCGAGGAGTCGTCGCTGGAGCTCAAGCTCGCCTTGTGATCATCTCAAAGTAAGATTTTTCCCACAGCGAAGAAACCAAAAAACCAAACAGTTCAAACTCTTCGTTGTTGGGAAGAAACCAAACAAAAAGAAATTCCATTCCAGGCAAAGTGGAAAGGAATTTCATCTCATTTTACTATATAATCTTTTCTACGAACAGTGTAACTAGTCTTTTAAAAGTATTGTAGGGTTCTTTGGGGGTTTTAGCTAGGTCATGGTGGGAGAGTGAGATCCGGGGCGCGGTCGAGATGATGCGCGCGCACAGGTTAGTAGCGATCGATCGCGCTGTCGGCAGCGCCCGTGTTCGTGCTTCGTCATTGGCAGCCGTGGAGCAATGCATGAAGCTGGATGATGTTTCTGCTGACGAGCGCAAGGCCGCGAGCTGGGCCGTGGCGAGCTTCCTCAAAGACCTGGGATTGAAATCCCCGGAGGCAGCAGGGGTGCAACGCGCATCGCCAGTGTTCGCGAGGAAGGTAGCGGCGCTGGCCAAGGAAAATCTCGGCAGTGACGAGGCCAGGATCTCGATCAAGGAGCTCAAGGCGCTCTCCTCTCGGGTGTTGCAAGAGCGGCGGATCAATGTGGCTGAGGCGGTGCTGGAGAGCCTCGGCGGAGCTCCGGACTGGGTGGAAGCCAGTCTAGCGCTCGTCGACAGCAGCGAGAATGGAGTTTTCAATCTTCTCGAGATCACGAACAAGCTCCACAAGATTGGATTCGAGAGGAAGAAGATGTGGCTGGTCTTCGAGCACAACAGTTTGCTCTGGGCGAGCACGCCGCTGGATGTGGAGAACAGCATCGTCGCGCTCAAGAAGGTGGATGGAGGGAAGTTCTTGATGAGGACCATCTTTTGCTGCCCGCTGCTCATCGGCCGATCGTCCCAGGAAGTTCTAAACGGTCTCGTGTGGGAGCTCGCTCGAGTTGGCGCTGACAAGAAGGATCTCTACAACCTCTTCATGCTCTTCCAGAAGAACCGGGAGTCTCCTCGCCCGGTCCCCGAGATCCTGGAGCGGCAGTGTGGATTCAGCAAAGCCGAGGTTCGCCGCCGGCTAACTTCCAACGCTCTCAAGCTCGCGTCGGAGGTGAATCACTCGCTGGAGCTCGCCATGAAGTGGTTTTCGAACGAAGGTGTCAAGGAAAACGACTTTTGGAAGATGGTGGTCCATCGGCCGTCGGACTTCTGCCGCAGCACCGCTTCCTTGGACGAGCAAATGGCGTTTTTGACAGAGTGGGGCTTGTCACGACCCGAGGCCTTGCAGATGCTCGTCAAGCACGCGTACAGTGTGATATGGAACGTCAGCATAGCCAAGACGAAGATCCAGTATTTGGTGGAAACGATGGGATTCCCGGCGCAGACGATACTTTCGTGTCCGAAGTTTCTCTCCTGCAGCTTGGGACTGAAGATCCGGCCTCGCCACCGGGTGGTGGAGTTTCTGGAGAAGCAGGGAAAGATCGAGAGGCCGGCGTCGCTGCAGTACTTGATCCTGTCGGAGGAGGCGTTTTTGGATACTTATGGCAAGCTCCACCTGGATGCTGGTAGAGTTTACGCGGAAGCAAAAGGCCTCGCCAGCGCTGGAGATGAACAGCTACAGGAGGAGGAAGGTTTTAGCCAGCAAGGTCAGATTTCGTTCTTTATTCTTTCGCATTCATTGGGTATCTCACTCAAGAACTGAAATGGTGCGTGCAGGGGACGAGGCAGCTGAGACCGAAACTCTTGAAGCTGTCAAGAGCACACAAGTACTACTACAGCTCAAAAGCCTGGGCGATCCAACTTCGGTATCCGTGGAACGAGCTCCCAACTTACGGAGCTCGTTGAGCAAGTTAGAGGGTGATCACGGTGGCGATCTTGGAAAAGAGATCCGAGCTTCATCGAAGATCTCGGCTGCGCTGGAGCGCATTCAAAGCGACAACAGCAGTCCAACGACGAGTGACACTTCCAGGGAAGTACAGCAGATTAAACAAACTGGAGGTACTGCAACTCTAGCAGCGGCAGTAGCAACAGGATCAGTGGAAGAAATAGCAGTGGAAGAGGTGGCAGTGGAGGAAAAGGAGATAGCAGCAGGAGGAGTGGCATCAGCAAGCCGTGATCCTTGCGAGCATGCGAATGGAGTGAGCGCAAACCGGGCAGAAGCTCCACCAGAAGTTATGGCAGTGGAAGGAGGAGAAGCATCAAGCGCTGACGCTTGTTTCAAGGCTGGAAGAACTGGAGAGGGTGCTGCTGCTGCTCCGGAAGATCTCGACAGTGACGAAAGCCATGGCCGATCGAACAAGACCGGTGGAATCGTGGCGTTTTTCCGAAAGTTCTTCACCGGGAGCTCGTGAAGAAAATTCTTGCGGTGTTTAGGATTAGGCAAAATGTTTATTGTTAAACAAAACCTGTGTTGTAAATTTAGAGGGAAAGGGTTTAAAAAGCGAGGTGAATTTAGGGTTAGGGCTTACCGAGAATTTTTTATTTTTGGTGTAGCTAACGAGATTTCGTGTCACCGAAGCACAGCCATGGCCGCTTCAATGGCGCTGGGAGAGCTGTGGCACGCGTCCAATTATTTTCTCGCTCAGATCGAGCCAGCAATCCTCGCTCTTGCGGCGCTCGCGGTTGGAGTGATCGCGCCATGGGTTTTGTCGGCGATCTCTTGTGCTTACTCTGCCGTGGAGGAGAAAGGTTAGCTCCAAATTTTCTTGCTCGTTGATTCCGATTGGTATTTGAATTCAGGCATTCAGCGCGTTCTTCTCAATCTATTTTTTCACGCGTGTCGGTAAGCGATCTGGAAGAGCTTGACAAAATCTCTCCCCTTTTGTTTTTCAGGAAAATTCCTGGCGTCAGTGGCTACATTCTGAGAGAACAAAATAAGGTAGCATTCCTATATGTTTGGTTGTGAGGATTTGGAAGCTCCATTTCTTTATCTGATGTTGATTGCGATCAGGTCATAGACAAGTTAAATTCGAGTACTAAATCAAAGCGTTCTCGTTGGATATCAGAGCTTCCCAAGTCCGGTCTCGGCAACGGAGTGCTTGACTGGCTCAACTCTGAGAGGCAAAAGGACATGAAATGGGAAGGAAAATGTTCTGGAACTGTGTAAGTCTTGACGAGCTGTCCTGTGCCTTGATAGAAGTTTTGCTTTCTAAATTCTTTCATCTTGTGTGGACAGATATATTGGTGGAACGGATGCAGAACAGCATTTTTCTCTGTTGAACGAGGCATATGCACTGTAAGTCTCATCCAGCGATTAGAAGAAAATGTCGTAACGATTCATGACAGATTTGCACACACGAATCCTTTACATGCAGACGTTTTTCCAAGCATAGCAAAGTTTGAGGCTGAAGTTGTCGCTATGACAGCCTCAATACTCGGCAGTAAAGAACTGGATGGCCAGGTGTGTGGAAACATGACTTCCGGTGGCACAGAGAGTATTCTAATGGCTGTTAAGTCGACTCGTGACTACATGCGAGCCACCAAAGGAATCACAAAACCAGAAATGTGAGTCCCGAAGTTAAGTCGTTTCTTTCTTTGTTCTTGTTTTCACTCGAGCTGCCAACTGCAGGATCATTCCAGTGTCCGCTCACTCAGCGTACAACAAAGCGGCTCAGTATTTTCAGATCAAATTGAAGATCGCACCCGTGACTGGTAACCTCCAGGCTGACGTTAGCAGTATCAAACGACTGATCAACAAGAACACGATTATGGTAATTTTCACACGTTCGCAATGGTTAGCAACATTGTTTTGGCAGATTGTAGGATCGGCGCCAGGATTTCCTCACGGTGTTGTTGATCCTATAGAGGTTTGGACTTTGGACTGGACGCTATGGAAAGCTTCTCACTTTTCTTTTTCTCTCCTGTGCAAGGAGTTGGGCGCTCTTGCGATTAACAAGAGAGTCTGTTTTCACGTGGATCTCTGCCTAGGAGGTTTTGTTTTGCCGTTTGCTAGAAAGTTGGGGTGAGTCTTTCATCGTCTTTTTCCTTGTGTAACGATACGATTTTTGCAGATATTCTATTCCGCCTTTTGACTTCTCGGTTCCGGGAGTCACTTCCATCTCCATCGATGTACACAAGTATGGTCTCGCTCCAAAAGGCACCAGTGTCGTGCTCTACCGAAATCACGAAATCCGGCGGGTATGTTCACTTTCTGGCTCAAAAGATTTAGTGTCATCTCACTTTCACTTTCCTTTTCCTTTTCATTGGTCACAGCACCAATTTGTAGCAGGTTGTAAATCTCTGTTGACAAACTACCATGAAGTTGAAGGTCTTTTTCTTTCTTTATAGTCACGGATTGGTCTGGCGGGCTGTATATATCGCCATCCATGGCTGGAAGCAGGCCGGGAGCTCTGATAGCTGGTGCTTGGGCTGCATTGGCATCTTTGGGAGAGGAAGGTTCGTCTCATCCTTTTTGGTCTTCGTCTCCTGCACTGAATTGTCTTTGACAGGGTACTTGAAAATCACGAAAAGTCTCATGGAGGCATCCAAAAAACTGAGGGACGGGTAAATATTAAGTGGTTCTTCGTTTCTTTTTTCTTGCCTCTTTAGCAATTCCTTTCAGAATACAAGAAATTCCGGGATTATACGTGCTTGGAGACCCGGCAATGACAGTCATTGCGTTTGGATCGAACGACTGCGACATCTTTAGAGTGAACGACGCTATGTCGAGCAAGGGGTGGAGCCTTAACGCTCTACAAAAACCTTCCAGGTAAAAATCTCGTCACAGTGATTCGTGTGCTCATATAATTCGCAGTGTACATTTTTGTGTGACGCTCCAACACGTTGATGCTATCGACAAGTTGCTCGAGGACTTGCGCTGTGCTGTAAAAGAGGTAACGTGACCACTGAACTTGGATCCACCATAGCTTTGTTTTCACAGGTAAAAGAGAACCAAAGTGATATGGAAGAGGGAATGGCACCAATCTATGGAGCCGCTGGCAAAATGCCAGATCGTGGAATCATTGAAGACATATTGATTGCTTACATGGACAACACATGCTAATAAAAATAATAATATAATAATATGATATTGTGAATGTGTGGAATATAGAAATGGAACATAAAAATGTGCATATTCATTAGTCTAAAAACCATAATTTATATTTGGATTGGATTGTGAATGGTTTGGTGAAACCAATCCAATAGAATACAAATAAAGTCATGGGATATGTTTTTTCAATCCAACTCTTACTGACTATATGCTGTTCACATGTTCAAGATGGCCATGCCACAAAGTATGGTCCATAGCATCCAGGGAAAACATATGGGAAATATGTTTCCTATTCTCTATTGTTTTTTAGTGTTACATATTGTGGTGTTGAAAATTGAAAGAGCTATTTCGAGACTTGAAGCCATTGACAAAAGACTTGCCTCCAATTCTCCATTTTGGCAAGCCACTCCAAAACAATATTGCTGAATCTCTAAATCCAAGTTCTAGTGCTGAGTGACTGAACTCTTTTGCAAATTTATCTATGACTTCTTGCCATGCTGGCCAGGTTTATCATTTTATCTCCTAGGTTTAAGACCTCCATATAGAAATTTGTAAATTAGTGTCATAAACAGTTGCAAATCCTTTATTATCTACACATAATGAAAATGTGACCCAAATGTTTTTCCAATATAAATTATAAGACCAAGCAACGTCATAGTTTTTATCATAAATTACTAAATTTCGATCTTTTTGTAGGTGAAGAAAACATTAACCATTAGTTTTGGTATCCCAAATTTTTTATTCTGTATATTATAGCACTAAATTACAATCAAATTGCATAATTAAAATGTAAAACATATTTGGTGACTGCAAATATTATCCAGTATTTAAAATTGAAAAATAAGAGTAATATGGTCCACTTTTAATACACGTTTTATGTATATCACAATCTGAGGTAATATTTTTTTGATAACAATAATGAGTTGGAACTATACCACTAAATCTATTTAATTCATAATCAACACTATATGAGATTGAATATAAAACGCCTATGTAGGTGACAGAACTATAAGTTGTAAAATCATTTATGACATATATATTTAATATACGATTAAATTCACGTTGTAAAGATTTACCAGTATTTAAATTATACGTAAAAGGAATAATACTACAAAGATAATTATAATATCTTTTATATTCTTGTATATCAAAAGTTTCTATTGAAACAATTAAAATTTTCCCCTTTTCATATAGAACTTTAGACATTGAGAACCCCAAAAATATCCCTCTACAGTTTCCTACTTTTTCAATAAGGTTTTTTATTATAGGGATTATAATATTTTGTCTATGTTCAATTGTTATACCTTTTTGGTTTCCTCCATAATATTTTCTTACACATTTAATTAATGGCATAAATATGATTATTATAAGAACTAAATATTTAATAAGCTTCATAGTTTAAAAATTATCTATAATTTTTATAAAAAAGAAAAGTTACTTCTTTAAACTAATTGTCACAACCTCAAACACAAGAAAGTGTATGCATTTAAGAAGAAAGGAAAGAGAGATAAAAGGAGCAAGAGAGAGAGAGAGAGAGAAAGAAAAAATCTAGGGTGATTAGCCTTGATCACTTATACATCTTTAACCTAAGTATGTATGCCTCATGTATCTCAAATTTGAAACTTGTGAAGTAATGAAAAACCAAAAGAGAGAACCAGATAATAGAAGTATATTAAAGTTCTGAATAACACAATATGCTGTATATATATCTAAAGCAAAAAAACATAATTATCAAGCAAGTCTAATTATATTTTAATCTATGAATTTTAAAATTAAATGTTATTAAAATATGTACATGTTCTTAAAAATTAAAACATGTGGCAGAATATAGAATTATTGATTTGTCTAATAGAATATTTAATAGTTATTGCCCAATTGTCCAATTGGCTAACATAAACCATTTTATTTAGCAATCGTGTATTTGGTTGGACAAGGTTAAATAAATTTTCACAAGCAATTACCCTTGGCTTTATAGGTTTTGAGGGATAAATAATCATTAAATTATCTCTTATAGATTCATTTCCTCTTGATTAGATATAAATATATATAGAAAATGGATTAATACATGAATAACAGTGCAATGGTCTTGAAATACTGAATAAAGGGTTTGATATTTGAATATTACATCTATGCAGACTCTATTGATTTGCTAAGAGAATTGCCATATGTTAAGATTGAAATTTGGAAATTAGTTAGCTTCTGTTGGTATTAGAGAGAGTGGGTTTCAAATCACCACATATTAAGAATGAGGCAAGAGATTTGTGGCATTCATGAGGATATTAATTTGTAGGGATGCATTTGTTCACAATGGTGAGTGTGGTAACCATAAAATTGTATAGTCTGCCCAACTAAGTAGAAGCATAGGAAAGTTAAGTTTACTAGAGAAGAGCACATCATGTTGATATCAACCACAAAAAGGAGTAAATTGAAGGTTTCTGATAAATACACATTATTCTGGCACTTGATAATTGGCAATCAATAAGTTTGGAGCTTCATGGGTGTTATGAGCTCCAACACTGCCCACAAGCTAGTGAACCATTATAAGATGATATGGATGTTACAATCTTTGCCACTTGTTGGAACTCAAGTGCTATATATCCCATCCAATCACGCTTCCATATGCCATACTTTAGAGCTAGAGACATC